GCTGGAGAAACCAAAGGTTGATTAACTATTGTATTTATCAGTACTAGAGGCTCAGTAATACAGATTAGTGAATGGGTTGTCAAATATACAGTGGATTGAGCCCTAGTTTATATGAAAGGGGAATGCTGCTTGGCAGATGGGAGCTCAGGAGCATATTCTAGCTTTCTTTCAGGTGGGGAACCTGCCTACTGAATAGAGAAGAATGAGCTATTGATCTCCTCTTTTTCAACTTAAATAATTGTAAGATAAATTGTCACTGTTGTATTTGGTTTGCTTGAAGATCAAAGTGATGTTTCTAAATGAAGATTAGGTACACATTTCTTTAGTTTTTTGGAACAGCTTATCATAAAATGGTTTGGAGTGGAAGGGACCTTAAAGATGATCTAGTTCCGACCCCTCTATGGTGGGCAAGGATGCCACCCAGTAGGCCAGTTTCCCATCAAACCATTGGACCATTTGATAGTAAGGAGGGAGGATGGGTGGACTGAAAAAGAGAATCTATTTCGTGGGATTTTATTTTTTTGCTTGGTAAAAGTAGTTTGGTTGAGAATGCCAGGATATCACTGGCACTAATCCAGAATGCTGAAGTTAGTACTTAAACCACAGAGATGGTCATGGAGCCATAACCTTATAGGGAGGTAAAAAAGGCTTAGTAAAAGTCTGTACTGTCTTTGTTTGACACTTCTTGAATCATGTCTACTTGGATTTAATTTAGTTAGCACCTGTCACTATGGAGTCCTGAACCATGGTGAGTCTTTAAAGTGTTTTTCATGAATTATTTCATTTTTTAAAAGAAAATAAATTAAGAAGAATAACACACTTCCCAAACCTACAAGAAAAGTAATTCTTCACTGAATTGCAACTTAACAGCAAAACTGAAAGAAGTGTTTCCAGAGAGCTAGAAACGAATGAGATTTTCCTTATAAATAAAGGGATTTTAATCCAGTTGTTTCTTTACCTGTAGAATATGAAAGTCCTCTGGACTAGACTGTCCCTTTACTTGCATCTGTGCATTTCCAAAATATTTTTAATGCATAATTTATGGGGAGAATTTGGCACACTGGTAGAAATCGAATTTCTCTACAGAGATGCATATCAGACATGGCAGTGTCTAATGTCTAAATGTCTAATGACTAAAAAATTGCTTTCAGCATTAATAGGTAAGAAGTAAGAGCAATTTAGCATATACGTCTCTGAACTAAGAGTAAAGTTTCAGTTAGAAATTGCTTGTTTGTGTAAGCCTATTTTAAAGTAGAATGGCCCCTTCTTTAAGGAATATAGCTGTAATACAGCTGGCCAAGGTACAGCCTGCAAGGGTTACATTGTCCTGCTCTGGCCAGGCTAAATGACAGGTGTAAATCAGTGCTTCTCTGGTCTAGTTTGAACTTTGCTTTCTGTGTAGGTACCAAAGGTTTTCTTTAAAAGAAAGCTCAGGGGGCAGAAATAATTTTCTGACTTCCATGCCATCTGTTTCTATTCTGTGTTGCTGGTATCACTGTTTTTTTGGGGCAGTAAGTGGATCAGTGTAGAGTCACTGTGTGTGTCATGTCCCAGTTCCCTCCCTTTCCCCCTGCCCTCCCCCCAGTAAAAAAAGCTTTTAAAATAAAATGTCAGGAATTGGCAGGGAGAGGTACATACTGCTCTCCTGATAGTTTAAATTTTACCTTTCTGTCGCATGAAAGGTGCTGGAGCCTGCTTTCTCCGTAGGAATTTTAAGTATTATAGCCTCTCTTGAGATGCTTTATGGAAGTGAAGCACACCTGAGCATAAGAGCTGCATGCTGCCTGACATTTAACACCATTCTGCAGCTTAACTGCTTTTAGACGTATCTGAGTCCTTCCTCATCCTGTGAAAGTACACCATGCTGTTGTGTATACTGAGAGTTCTGAAGTTCCTAATACACAGTGGTATTCTTAAAACTTTTGGGTTTGACACTCTGAAAAGCTGATACCGAAGCGATGAGGCTCTTCAAAACAAAAAGTAAATGAAGGAAAATAATAAAACAAGTTATTTTTACCCATGTTATAAGAGATTGTTATGTTTTCTTTCCCATTCTGTAGCACCTGCTTTGTCTGTGGCAGCAGGTAGCCTAACAGGCTACCTCTAGAGCTGTGCTTCCATCACTTGCTGATGCTAGTGCACAAACAAAGATGGTCTGTTTTGGTGAGACAAGGCTCCATTGAAGTTACTGCTAATAAGCAAACCAGCTGTGTTCAGCTCAGTCTCATTCTAAACACAGGAAAAGAATCAATCTTTGCCAGACTTGAAAAGCTGAAACTATTACAGAGGTTAAAATTTTTTTATTTCAAGTGGGTGTAAAACATATTTTCAAAATAAACACTGGAACCACACTTGACTTTTACCACATATATTAATCATATTCTGTGTAGGCATGAAATACAGAAAATGTTGAGCTTTGTATACCTTTGTTTTATAAATGCAGGTTTGTTCTAACTATCGTTTAATATAAGCAATGCTGCTTAAGTCCCAGCTTCAATGTCAGATACAATGCACCTTCTCACTATGAAGTGCTACTCCATTGTAGCTTAGTTTACTCTTACCAAAAGGATGTGTCTTTTTCAAGCTCTCTCTAATGCTTAAAACCACCCCCCCCCAATAAAACAAAAACCCAAACCACCAAGTACTTGTAGTTGCAATTAATTTGACTATTTGGTTTTAAACACTTCTCTAAACAAAAGCTTGTACTAATCCTAGTGCAATAGTGTTTCTTTATTTCTGTAGCAAATTGTTTTCCTTGTGTAGCATGTTCGAGTGCTGTAGTGCTGGATTGTTTGTCATCTGCTCTTTAAGTACAGCTCCATGATGTACTGGGTGATTCTTCTGAGAAGAATCACCCTAGTGGTTCCATATGCTTGGTTTCAGTTTTTACATGGTGCCACATGTGGATTACATGCTGTTACAGGTCTAAAATGTTGCCATTCCCTAGCATGTAGTTTGTGGGACTTTGGAAATTTGTTGGGTTTGTTTTTTAATATCTTTGAGTATATACTCCTCCTATACTTACACTGGTCCATGTAAAATACAAACTGTTAGACCCAAGCCTTGTTTGCATATGACAGAGCTCTGCTCACCTTTTTAGAGCTGGAAATGAAATTTGGGCAAGTTCCCTCCTAAGATTGGATGTATTGCTGGGGGAGCTGCCTCTCCTCCATACTGCAGGCAGATCTGCCTCCATCCTGACCTGCCTGACCCTGAACCAAGGCTGCTCAGAGCACCACAGCAGTGATGGCTTGCTGAGGTATTCTCCTCTGTGCCCTGGTCTGAGTCCAGCTCCCACCATCCACACCATGCTTTTCTGTTTCTAACGTATACCTAATCTCTTTGCTCTCCTTAGTTTTAGCTACATTGCTGAGAGAACAGAGGTAGTACAACAGGGATTTTTTTGAGGTCTTTATGAACCTTGGGTTTGATAACATGTTGTTACGGCTCTTCTGGCTCCTGGCTAAATTATCGTTCAGTTATAGCCTACATGGCTCAATTGTTGAGCCAGCAATGACAAAGTTGTGTTGCTTTTGGGTTTTTTTTTTCCTCCTTTTTTAGCTTAAATACTGCAATACTGGAGTCTTTGATGTACCACTATGCAGCAGCAAGATCTGCTTCTAAATCTGAGGTGTTTCTATCTTATTTAGTGTATTCTTTGGCAGATTCCTCTAATGGAGCATGTTAAAGAATAAGCAGTCTAGGGAATTCAAACTTGCCAACCTTCAAACAATTACTCCTGGAAAGAGGTGCTGCTCACACCCGTTTTTGTCTGCATGGAGATAGTAAGGAAGGAGTTGGACTGGTGGTCAGCTTTGCTTGTGCAGTCAACACACATTCAAGATGACTTGGGGCAGACACAAACATGCTCTAGCTGAGTCCTTGCAGACTCTCAAAGTCCAGCAGGGTTTATTGACTCAGGCTCACTGCCAAGGAAATACACTCAGCTGCTCCCAGACCAAGTAGGATCTGCTGTTTTGGCATGGAGTCTGAGCTGTTAAAGCCTGCCAGGCGTGAAGGGTGCAGATCTGGGTCCAGCACAGTTCTTGGTACCAGGAGCTCTGGAAGCACGTTGTGGGTATCTGACCATATGGATCAGTCTGGGACCATCAGGGCTCATTAGATCAACAGCGGTTTCTGCCCTGTTAACCTCAAGCTTGTTTCTGTTCCTAGTTTTAGTTTGGTTTTTATTATGGTTTTTTTTTTCATGTGGTGTTTTTCTTATTGGTTGGGTGTTGTTGGGGATATGTTTTGAATCTAACTGAGTTCTGGGGAAATTTATTAGCTTGATCAGCACCAGCTAAAACTTTCTGCACATATAGTATGGCGTGTAAGGAGCTTCTTGGAAGCTGCAGAGGCACTGAGCGTGCTGAACAGGAACCAGCACAGGACAGGCATTGAGTCAGAGCTGCTGGCATCTGATGATCCCAAATTGACTTTTAATTTCTCTGTGCTGTGATTCCCAGCTTATTTTGTGGTGAAACAGTATGAAAATGTTTCCAGTGCCTGCTTTCTCACAGCCTGTATGAGCCATGATAGTGGAGCACTGAACATTGCACCCAAAGTATGGAGTGCTGGATGGGCACTGCTAGTGAGGACTTGTATTTTGGTTTTGCGGAGTACATAGCCATGTAAGACTCTGCTTAATAACTGCTGATGTCATAAGGGTAGTTAGCTTTTCTGTTTGGATTTGAGAATACTCTTCTGGAAAAAAATTAAGATGATATGCTTGATAGTCTGCGAATTATTACAGTACTTGAAATTAACTTTCCTCACAAAATTCACAAATGCTTGCTTAACTTTTCCAATCAAAAGGTCATACAGCTCTTATGGGTTTTTCTCATATGCAGGTGCAGCTGGGACAAGTGGATATAAAATGCCCCATCACAGAGTGCAGCGAACACCTGGATGAAAAAACTGTCCTCTATAACCTGCCCCATGACGACATCATCAAGTATAAATATTTCCTGGAACTCAGCCGCATTGACTCCAGCACCAAGCCGTGCCCTCAGTGCAAGCACTTTACAACCTTCCGGAGGAGAGGCCACATTCCTAACCCTGCCAAATTGGAGAACAAATACAAAGTGAGCATGCTTGCCAGGGACCGTGGGTTAGATGGCACTGCAAAAGTGGGACAGCATTTGGAGGGCATTAAATGAGCTTTTTTTTTACGTCACTGGAGCTGTGTGCAAGCTATGATTAGGAATATGCATCTGTTGTAGTTTGTTGATTAACTACTTAATTGACCTCTAATAGTTTCAAGCAGTCGAATTTCAGCCCTTATGGTTTTTGGCAGGTGGTATAATTTTGTCCTGTAATTTTGAGTTAGAGGGTGTTTTCTTTCTGACATGCAAACAATACAATCATGATCAGAAGAGACTGGGAAGGAGAGTTATCACTATAACTGTTAATTTTAGACACACAACTCTTAAGCTTTCCCTGAAACTCTGAGCAAATGAATTCTGGGCATTTGTGGTGTTAGGCTGTTGACTTGCTCCTTGTTTAGTAATAGAGGTGTTACTGTCCTGCCTCTTGGGTTTGATTTCTTCAGTCCCTCATCAGAGGTTATACAATACTATAGTCTCATCACTCACAATGCAAAAACTTGAGAAACAGGTAGAAAAACCTCCTCTTCTACAGCATTTCCTTTCATAGTAGATTTCCTTATACTGTGATTTTAATCAAAGATAAAAAGCAGGAGTTTAGAAGCTTTGAACTACTGCAGGTCCATCTAAGTTCCAGAAGAAGACTATTCTGTCTGCAACATCATGTTCTGTATTAGGTTTCCATCCGGTTATTAGATTTGTTGTGGTTAATTCCATGATTGAGCTGGCCTTTCCTGGACAAACCTGTTCTCAGTAGGAGTTTTAGATGACTGTTTAGATAGCCCTAATTACACAGCATAAGATTCAGCCCGGTATGAAGATTAAAAGGTAGAAGGCTATGTATTCAGTGGAGTTGAAAAGTTGGTAAAGCTAATTCTGACTTATGAGCTATTTACTTACATCTCTGCAGTGCATGAATTACATGTCACACTGTCTGTTGGACTCAGTGTGTTGAGTTTTTTGGCATCTTGCGTTGAGGTGGAAAAATTTAAAACTGCAGGTAAAATTCCTTCTGCCCACAGCCATTCTCCTTTATACATTCACTTCATCATCACCACACATCAGACATGGTCCAGGGTAGATAAGGGCTTGTAATGCTTCCACAGCCATCGCTCTTAGCGTGTCAGAAGCTGGTACTGTCCCACAAGCATGGGTCATAGGTGGTGCAGCAGTTGTATCATGGGCATGCCAGATCTGAGAACATTCCTCTAGGTGTAACCAGTGCTCTTTTATGAGTTAAAATATTACAGTTAAAATGTTCCCACTCCTGTAATCAGAAGGACTGGAAGACTGATGCATAGTGCAAGCCAGAAGCAGTTCCGTGGTCCTGTGGTGATGCATTATGTGTAGCTCTGATCTGCAGAGCTTAAGCCACTCTGGCAAAATGTGTCCTTTGAGCTGAGCGTGGAAGAATGTCTACCTGATGCTAGTCAGAAATATAATTAGGAAAGTGCCAGCAAACAGTACGGACTATCATGGTCCACAGTGCTTCAGCCTACTCCCCAAACCTCTACGGTTTTCTGGTGTAGGTACAGTTTGCTGATTTATTTTAAGCTTAGCACAAAGAGAATTTTTGCTGCAGGAAGAAGGTTTAAAAAGAAGACTACATATGAGATTGTGTATATGTGTGTAATTATGTACACATGTAGTTGGGGACCAATATTATGTCAGTTTTCTTAGATTCTGATGCAATTTTGCATATAGCATAGGAGACATCTGACTGGAGGCTTATGATGCTCTCATATTCGCATGCAAGCAATATAAACAGCAGTTGCACCTGATGTATTCTGCACTAGCACTGGAAGTGCTGGCTTCGAGAGAACTGGGTCATGTGGGGAACATCTACACACAAGCCTGCTAAGTAAGGTCACAGCACATAAGGTCTCAGTGCCAGTATACTCAGTCTCCTCTACACTACAGCATGCAAAGCACTCTAAAATCCAAGAGTTCAATTGAGCAGATACTTTAAAAATGTTATTAATGCCATTTCTAAAATTTGATAAAATATTTAAAATTACAAATAACATCAAAATTCCAAAAGACAACAAAGTTATACATTAATTTTCATTGCTATAGCTGTCTTATGTCAGCTAAACTGATCAGTTCAATTGACTGAAATTAAAGCCTTGGTGTGCTAACCGTAGAAAGTTAAAATGTATGTTGAGGGAGAAGGAGGGGAGGAAAAGGGGAACTTGCTATCCAGATGTTTCTTGTGCCATTATTGCCACTTAGGACAAGACAGTGCAGCAGCAGGACTGTGTAAATTCCTATATCAAATATTTGTATCACAAATGGATCCAGTGTTAGGTAAAGAAATACCCCTGTCTCCTCTCATATGACCTAAATTGGGAGCATAAGACTTGGTTGTAGACAGCACCCTGATAAACCTTTGCATTCAAAATGCAAAGGAAATGGTCAAAAATTGAAAAATTGCTAGTGCATGGAACAGATAAGTGTTTCACAAGAGTGAGTAAGATGACTTGTTCTGTGAGAGGTTCAGGGATTTATTTTCCCTGGATTTCACGTGTTGTTTTAATGTTAGTTCCTTGACTTGCCACCTGCCATGGAAAAGCAATACTTGATTCTTGCATTCTATTTCTGCCTTATCAATCTGTGAGGTCCATAATGAAGTTTTCTTGTTCACTTCTGTCAAGACATACACATCACATAAAAGGAGGATTTGAGTGCTTGACTTTGCATATGTAAACGTTTTTTTTAATGCAGTTGTTATATAAACTCTCTTTTGTTTGAACCACTGAAGTTTCTGAAACTTGTTGCTCTAGAACTAGCAGGAATCTGGACCTGCAGAGATGCTGTGATAGAGTGCATCTTTGTAGTTAATATCTAGTTCCCTACTTCTTGGATCAGATTTTAACCTTCGGTGGCAGATAACTTTCATGATTATATATCACTTCAATCTACCTTGAGCTTGAACTGCTGCAGCTGTGGTGATTTTGCTGTGCTCTCCTCCTTGGCTCTCAGCTGTTCATTCCTGCCAGCCTGCTTTTTGCTCATGTTGATGTTTCGGTGTCACATTGGGAACTGGATAAAAGATCAGCCCTAATGGGATACAAGGTTTGTTGGTTTTGTTGCTTATTTTCAGCTGGTACAAGAGAGGGTTGGTGACAAGGAGACAAAGCTGTTTTGGCTGGAGCCCATATTTCTTTTGAAATAACGTGACTGTGGCTGTAGCTAGAGACAGTAATCAGTTAGTTGCGTGACTAATTTAACCATCCTCTTATATAGCTAGTGTTCCACCAAGCAGTGGAAAAACCCACTACACTTTTTGCACCTTCAGGCTTTCAGAATATTTTTAATGTGCAGTCAGTTTTGCTATCATTGTCACGTTGAGCAGTGTTTTGTGTTGAAATTATCAGTTTTGAAAGCTCTTCCTGTGAGGTGGGCAAACTGATAGATAAAACAGTTTGCAGTAGAGGCTAGCTAAGAAAGTGTAAAGTGTTAGCTTCCAAGGTCAGTGTTTCAGAAAGCTGAGAAGCAAAGTTGTGTAATTTTTATATTTCAAGGTTGACTGACCTCCAGGTGGCATAGAAGTTGTGTATATATCCATCCTCTCAATTCTGATTGACAGTAATGGAAGTCATAAAACAAATGGGAAAAATGTTGTTGGGGTTTTGCAGATAGAGTTTGTCTGCTTAGCTGGACTATAGTGTATTTTACTGGTTTAAATACTATCATATGTATATAGCATTTGTGCCCTTGTTACGATGGTTTTGTGCACCAATACCAAAGCACAAAGAAAATCACATTTGACTTTTCTTTCAGAAAAGTGGACAAAGAATGGAATAAGAATATGAAAGACTGCTCTAATTGCCCTGTTGTGTTCCTGTTGCTTAAGCACGCTGGCATCACACACAAGTTTCAATGGGTTTAGGAGTTTGTTTTCCAGCTACTAGTTCCAAGAAAAATAAGGTTCATAAGTGCCTAATACACGTAGTTGGTTTCTTTGCCTGCTTAGTGTATGCTCAGACAGCATTGAATAGCAGAGAAGTGAAGTGGCCCATTCAAAGTGTAAAAACTATTTGCTACTTCAGTTTTGAGGAAAGTGCTGTCAGTGTGGCAGGCTGAAGAGGAAACTGATAATGAAACAGACAGTTCTCACTAGTTTACTTCAGTTAGTCAGGGCCATTCCTGTTAAATGCTATTTTGAGTTCATGTGGTTATGGCCTCATTCTGTATTTCAGTACTTTCTAATTAATATATTTGGAAACATCTGATGGCAGTGTGTGTAAGTTTAGATATATATTCCGGTGGCTGCTGTATTACTTGCACTTATGTACATGCTATAAGAGAAAGAGTCTGCAATTAATTCACGTTGAATTTTCACCGAAAGAAACCCCAAACCAAGACAAACCCACAGAACTTCTGTGTTTTAAATTACGTTGCTTTTTTTTTTAAGTAAGAAGGTTTAACTTGCACCTTCCCAGACCTGCTGATTTCAGTTTGTATTTAACATCCATGTTCTATCTTAAATGTCTGAATATTGCAACTGATAAAAGTTCTCAGGCTGTAGAACATGTACTTGTGGCTATAAGCTCTATCTTTGGCTGAGGCATAACAAATACTGAGGAATACACTGCAATGCTTGCCGTAATCTGTCTTCACAGCAGTAGGTCACTGTGACTTGAGTTGTTAAAAATGTTAATTCAAAGCTGGGGAGGAGAGGGCAAGGGGGAAGAGGGGTAAAATAAGATGGAGATATTGGGCAGGACAGGTTAGATGACTGTCTTGTGCAAGTTGGTTTCTAAAGTACTGTGGAACATTGGTAAGTGCTTCATATTAGCTTGTTTAGAAGCAATATATATGTCATTCCTTAGGTTCTTCAGAGTGGGAAATTTCCTTTCTTGTTGAACTGTTTTTATTAGGAGAATTTACCTGGGAAGCAGAGATGCAGGATAGTGTATTTCCTTTGATTTAGTATCTGGGCCATTGGATCAACAAATTTGAGAAAGGGCACCAGTTCTATTTTGTATTGCTTTTTGGTTTATATTTTATTCATGGCCTTGGACAAGTTTCATATTTTTGTGTAAAAAATAATGATGTTTGTAATCTGCATGTTTCAGTTTTAATGTGTTGTTTTCTTTTAAACAAGTTTTCTTTGCTGTTCTTTCCTGGTTTCGTGCTGCCTACCTGTGTCTTCAGTAGCTTATTTAATTCTCAGGAGGCATGTGATACCTCACACAGAAGAAAACTGCACTTATCTTACTGTGTGCCTTACAAAAATGTAATCTTGTAGCTATAGAAAGCAGTAAGTCATAGTTGTATTGAGTGCAGGATATCAGAATTTAATGTGTTTGAGTACCACATTCCCTTTGAGTCTGCTTGATATGAAGGAACTGTATGTATTCTAACACTTAAATGCACATATGATTTTCTATTTTTTTAACGAAGATAATGACCAGTAGATGGTAACTAAAACGTTATATGTTGTAATAAGAAGAATGTCTTTAAATTTCTTGATACTGTTTCCCTTCTGTGCACTTCAGCCTTATGCTGAGGCAAAGGATCTTGGAAGGGGAAATGCTGTCTTAAGGGTAGTGAGAAAAGTTAACTCTCTTCATTAATTACTATTCCTATACTTGCTGATCTGTAGATGTGGATTGGTATAAATGGGTAAGCTGAAGTGATGCTCTGAGCAGCACATCATATAGACCACTATTAAAGGTAAAATATGTGGTTAAACAGGTACATCACCTAATACAAATTAAGCTATGACTGTTACACTGCTGCAGTAAAAACCCAAAATTGCTCTCTGCAGGTGAAGTTAAAGACAACCACTGAGAATTGGGTTAGTTAGGGTCATAGAAATGCTCAGCTTGAGCCATTGTGCCAATTAGGTTTTTATGTAAAATGTTAAAGACGAAAAAACCTAAATGCTCTCTCTCTCTTTATAGAACTTGGGGAATAGCATTAAAGGTAGCAGACAGCTTCATCTTTCAGTCATGCATTAGAGATCAGATCAGCTTTGTATTAGCATGCTGGTAGTGATAGATGTAGTGGTTGCACATATAAGTAGTTTTGGCTGCCCCCCCAGCAAAATACATAAGGGAGATCAGAGTGCCTGCTTTGGACTCTAACTGTAGTTGAGGAAGCACACCACCAGTGGGCATGTCTGAGCAGAAGGTACAGCAACTAATGGGAGTGAGGACTTCAGAAATACATTTTGGGGATTTCACATGCGTCTAGACTCTGGGATGTAGTACCCTGAGCAGCATCCCCACACTGTGTGGCCAGCGCAGATGTGTCTGTGATTTGGTGGTGTGCCAAGTCTGGACACAGATAGAACCAAAAAGCCTTTGGGTAAATTCCTCATTCCCATCCATCAGTGGCAGGCACAGGCTGCAACTGGAGCTGGTAGACAGGGCTCAGCAGTCACTTGAGAGATGTGCCTTCCCATCTTTCAGGCTGAGGTGTTTTGCTGGCAGATGCAGCAGAAATGAAGATGTTGCAGAAGCCTGGATGTGCTTGTCTATTGTGGCTTTTAGTTCTGGCTTTCCTTAGGCACAATCCAGGTAGGAGGCCTGTCTTTCATCAGATAAGCACCTGCAATGTGCCTCTCTTTATTGCTTCTGCAAACACAGCAGCTGCCGTAGCTTTTCACACAAAAATAGGCAGGCTCTGAAAGAAGACATGATGGTGATGATACCTGTTTGACACAATGATTTAAAACTGAGGAAGTGGAAAGAATAGAACCTTTCTCAATTTGAGTATGGCTTGTGGTTTTTCCTATTAGGTGTGGTCTGTAGCAAGTAGGCTGTTTGGCATAGCCTCAGCTTGTCTTTACCTAACCAAGAGCAAAAGGAGGTGCCTGATTCCCAGTTGGTAGTTGTCTCTTGGATGAGAGCCTTGGTCATGGCCCCTTTTCTCAGAACCATTTCTGACAGAGGCTTCATAACCCATTCTGCGTTCTGTAGAGCCCCTTCAGAAGACTTCTTGGTAATAACCTTGGCAGTGAAGTTTATTATTAGAAGACAACAGATCCACTGCACTGACAACTGGGTGCTAATTTTTGGGTGAGCTCACAAGTGTATTGGAGATGACTGAATAAGCTTCCTGGATTTTGCCCTTTGTCAATCAAACCACATGGAGAATTTGGTAAACAATTTCTTATGCTTAAACCAAGCTACTTGTGCTTTGTTCGATTGAGGCCTTTCCTGGCTTTAGTAATTAGTTATGTATTTTCACTCTTTTTAAAAAGAAAAGGAACATGTTAGCCTCCATAACTACTTGTGTTTTTAAAAACAAACCCTTCAAAATATGTTAGACCTTTGCTGGGCAGCTACTGTCTTAATTGAAGAGCAGTGGTTCTAAAACAAACTTTCTAGCTGGGTCAGTGCCCAGCTTGCAAATGTGTGGTGTTTTCTCATTTGTACAGATCCAGTGTCCATCTTGCCAATTTGTCTGGTGTTTCAAGTGCCACTCTCCCTGGCATGAAGGCGTTAACTGCAAAGAATACAAGAAGGGAGACAAGCTGTTACGTCACTGGGCCAACGAAATCGAACACGGGCAAAGGAATGCCCAGAAGTGTCCAAAATGCAAGGTGAGCTGCTCTCCCTTGGCTTGCAGGTAGTGGCTTCAGTCCATTTAAATATACATTTAAATAAATATTTGTAGCTTCTGTTCAACATTGGAAATGAAATTCATGCTTGCTGGGCATTTTTTTTGGTCAATGACTCATTGAGAAAAACTGATCAGATATTTTACTTGCTGGTTGCTGTGCTGATTCTGCAGAATATCTGCATGTAAAAGAAACATTATGGAAATTGTAAGAGGGGGCTTTGTATGCTTAGATTCATAGAATGGCTTAGGTTAATGAATGTGTTATAGAATAAATTATTCCTAAAATAAAACTGTAAAGAAAAGGAAATCTTTAGAGAAATAGTACCCTTTGTCAGGTTTTCCAGGGAGTTTGGGTGAAGTAAATTTCTGAGTAAGGCAGGAAGTACTCTCTCAACAAGTTAACTAAGGGAGACTTTCAGGTTTGGCAAAGCCGTAAGTTTTTTAAGATTAAATGTCAGTTCTTTACAACTCACACCTTGAGGTGAGGCTTCACGGGCCACACCCCAAGTACTGTATGTGTTCTGGGTCCCTCACTTCAAGAAAGGCATTAGAGTGCTGGAGTGTGTCTAGAGAAGGGCAGTGGAGCTGGTGAAGGGTCTAGAGCATAAGTTCTATGAGGAGCAGCTGACAGAATTGGGATTGTTTAGCCTGGATAAAAGGAGGCTCAGGGAAGACCTTACAGATGTCTATAACTACCTGGAAGGAGGCTGTAGCAAAGCAGGGGAGGTCACTTCTCTGTGATCTTGGAGAAAGTGCAGTCCCACACCCTAAAAATGTCATTGATCTCTTCCAGCATAGAAGTATTTCCCACTACTCAAACGAGATGCAACAGCCCCACATACCCCTGCCCTGACTGCCCTTAATGAGGTAGCCAGTGCATTTGTTGACTACTTCTTTTCACAGCACTTACCTCCAGCTACAGACAGAGTAGTAACTCAAAACCTTAAAAGCACCATGGTGGTGGGAGACTGCCCTGTTTTTCTTGAAAGGGAGTACCTATTCTGAAATTTTTTATTGCATTACATCTATATAAAGAGGACAAAGTAAGGAAGTTGGTATTTTTGGTGGGTAATAAAATATTGTGTGGGAAGACTTATATGTAAATATACATGTCACTCTTTAAGCCTTACACTGTGCAAATAAAAAAGTGTTCATCAGTTTACTAAGTATCTTATTTTGGTCTTTGGGAAAGAAATGCCCGTGATGCCATAGCTTGAAACTGAAAGATTTCAAAACACTAAGCAAAACTGGAAAGCTTTGAAACCAGCAGCTGGTTGTTTACTCTTCCTCCTGCACACATGTGACATTATAACAGTTTTAATAGCTTGCTCTTTGGTAAGAGTTGATAGGTTTGAGCCAGTTCTAAAAATGTTCACTTTCTGGGAAATCTTAAAGTAAAATGCTTTGTTCATTTTGGAGTGGGAATAAGTATGTGTTTTGGTTTAAATTCATTGACTTGTGTCCAGATTCAGATTTTATGACAATGTGAACGATGTAACTATTGAAATAAGTTGTCAAAAAAAAAAAAAAAAAAGGAAATGGACCAAGCAAAAAAGTATTAGTGTGGAAAAACAGGGTGAGGAAGCCTGCTAGCTGGAGAGCTAAAGGAGCTAAAACTGCTACCCATAACATGTTTAACCTGAATAAGTTTAAAATTTAAAATGCCACATTTAAATGTACAACTCCTTTCACTGTCTTCAAAAGAAAAGTCTGGACACTTGAAACTTATGTGAGTTGTCACTAATTGTGAAGCATAAAATTGTATGAGTTTGGCTGCTACTTTCAAAAATACCTTAGGGTTCTTTTTCTTAATCAAAAAAATATAAAACTTTCTACATGGTGGGAGGCAGTATGGAAAGTTATGAAACGAGCACAGAAAAGGAACATGTTGCATCCTTTCTTGTAAGATGGTATTATAAGTGAATATTGAAGAGGGAGTTCAGCCTTTTCATAAATTATGCTGCTACCCCCATTCCTGATACTTTTTCTTCAGAGCTGAAAAAAATTATTCCTGCATACAACCTTCCAAATGTTTATATCAACACAGTTTTTAAATCAAATCTATAACTAGCAAGTAATCAAAAGAACCACTTAGCCAGTGGTTAGTGGTACTGTTGTTCTTTTTCCTCTCTTCATCGGTTATTGAGTAGTTACAAAAAATACATCTTAAGCAGCATCAGGTGACAACATTTTATTTTTAAACTCTTTTGTGTTTTGGTTAAAAATTTGAAGTAGCCAAAAATGACAAACAATTTGAGGGGGAAGTCAATATTAAATTGTGTCTAAAGATACTAGTATTCAATCTAAGATACAACAGAAACAAACAGAAATTAAAGGTAGAAACTTCAGTAGAGGTAGCATTTCTTTACTGAGGTAACTTGTAAAATTACTGGTACTTTCAAGTGTCATACTGACTACAGTGTAAACTGTGACCATATTTTACAGATATTTTCTGGAGATAATTATATATACACACAGATATATACACACAGACTCTTTCTTTAGCTGTACCATGGAGAAGTCGAATGCACTATTATCTTGTCTGGGCATGCAGGTGAGAAAATGGAAACACACTTATGGGGAGTGTGTGCATATATAGGCAGATCCTCAGGCAAGTATTCACAAGTTTGTCAGTGGTTTTGGTAAGTGCGTTGAAAGAACTTAATCCTTTGTAATGGGAATATAGTGGGGACTGTTAAATAAGCTTAAACTTGATTGCATTTTCCTGTAGTTGGACACAGCTTTATAGCTTATATTTACCTGGTCTCTCTAAGATGTGTTTACATAAGAAAATGAAAATGTTACACACTGTCCAAATGCATAATTGTTGTGATTATATGCCAGCATGGAAATATGGCAAAATGATACTTTTTAAAACTGTATTTTAAATTCATTTTTACATTTGTTTTGTTTTTAATAGGGTCTTTTCCAAATTTACTATACACTACTTTGAGAAAGTCAGCATAGACCATTTTTCTCAATAAGACTTGTCCAAAAAGTGCTGGTCTTGTTCTAGAGGGCTGGCTAATCAATGCAAATTTACTACATGTTATTGGATGCCTCTTGATAAAATCTCTAACCTTCTTTGTCTTTCCCACTACTGTTTATTTTTTGCAATTTCTTTTGACATGTTTGCAGCAAAAAAAACACTTGGTTATTTTTGTTTCCACAAGGGTTTTTACAGTATAGCAAACCAAGGAAGTACTTCATGTTGGTGTTACCGTACCACAGATTTCAAAAATTACACTGAGAAAAATAAGATAGCAGCTTTATCTTTTAAAGCTTTGAACAGCAGCAGAAATCTAAGTAAACAAGGATGTCAATGCAAATAAAGAAGGATGTACTCCTTATCTGTGGATTATCTGTTCTGATTAATATAAGCATTATCAAATAACTTGGGGCATAGTTTTTGAAGGTGCTCTGCAAATTAATTTTCAGCCTCTGGAGGGAGGAGAGACCTATTTTATATACAAAGGGGATAAAGCTGTGCAGATTTTCTTCAGGAGTGGAGGAAAAATGGCCACACTCGTCCTCAGAACCCTTTGCAGTGATTTCCCTGGAAGATTTCTGTGGGAGGACATGTAACATGCAGAGGGGGTAAAGTGAGGATCTGAAATAGCTAACTTCAGTTGTTTCCTTAAGACTCTGAGCTAGGTATGTTTGCCCTTGATGTGTAACTTTTACCTCTCTTGTTCTGGGAGCTATTCTAGGGATTCTCAATTACTAAACCTTCCTCTGTAAGGTGAGGGTGCATCTTTTGGTTTTGAACAGATACTGGGTGCAGGATGAAGCCTGTAGCATTGACTGAATACTTGGAGGCAGAAACTGGACTTGCAGGTGTCATGCTTTCACCTTGTCTCCTCTACCCTCACTGTGCTGCTGGGGAGCCTGCACTTGACACTTGACCCTACACAAGCTAACTATAGCAAGCTGCAT